TATATATATATATATATATATATATATATATTAAAATGTCGAGAGAGTCCGGTAGAAGGTCCGTGGATATGGGCGCCGTGAACCGAAGTTCGAGTAGAGGCAAAGCAAAAGTCACCTCCGACGGTTCGACCTCACGCGTTTCTCGAGGAAGACACTCCGTCTCTTCCTTTCCTACTATCCCCGATCACTTAATCGGGGACGCTATGATGGATGAAGAATTCGACCAGATTTATTCTGGTAGAGGGGACGCAAATCTCCCCACTCTTGATAGTGTATTCAAAGATATTGATGAAGCAAATCTGGATAATCTGGACAGGGACGATGAGCCTACACCGCAGAGCAACGACGTCGACGTGGAGGCAGGTGAGCCCGCGACCTCTCGAGGTCCGGATAAAGGTAAAAAATTATAAATCAGAGTTATTTGTTTATCATTTTGACAAAGAAACAAAAGATGGCGTAGTTTATGGAACTTGTAAACATTGTGGGACCGTCATAAAAATGGGAGTCTCCGGCGGTTATGGCGGTCCGGAAAAACACCTAAGGTCGAGGCATCCCGTGGAGTTTGCCAAATACGAGGCAAAAAAGAAGGGACAACAAGAAGTGCAAACCCAAATTTCTCGGTTTGCTAACAGAGGTAAGGGCGGCCTTTTTGCTTATAGCAACGAGCAAAATAAGCAAAAAATGGCCGAAATGATTTGTGAAGAAAATTTGCCATACATGTTTTCTGAAAAACTTGGTTTTATTGATTATTGTCAACAGGCATTAAACCCTCAAGCACGAGGTTTTTCAAGAAAAACAATTAAACGAGAAATTATTCGTCAGTATAAAAATGGAAAAATAAATTTGGCAAATTTTTTTTCTTAATTTTAATTCTCGTGTTGCTATTTGTTCTGATATTTGGAGTGAAACTTATCATAATTTGTTTTATATGGGTGTTACTTGTCATTGGATAGATAGTGATTGGATTATGCATAAACGTGTTCTTGCATTTCGTGATTTCAATGAACAACATACTGCTGAAAATATTTTCCTATTGCTTCAGAGTATTCTGCGGGAATACAACTTATCTGACAAAGTATTTTCATTTGGTTTTGATAATGCTACTAATAATACTGCAGCCATTCCTAGACTTAGAGAAAATTGCCCACCGTCTACGGCTATGGGTAGATTTCTGCATCAACGGTGTGCCTGTCATGTTTTAAATTTATGTGTTCAACAGGGACTAGAAGCTATGGGCGGAGTTTTGAAGAATATTAAAGAAGGAATTAAAAGAATTTGGGGGGCTCGTCTTGTTTCGAAAAAATGGAAGATTTTCTGTAAGTCTAAAGGTAGAAAAGAAATAGTTTTTGCAAAAGATATCCACATTAGATGGAATAGTACATACAAATTGATTCATCAGATTCTAAAATATAAAGAGGAACTTGCTGAATTTTTTAGTGATGAACTTCGTATAATCATTGATCCTTTTGAATTTGTACTTGTTGAAAAATTGAATGCCGTATTAGAAGTTTTTAATAACGCAACTCTTACTTTTTCTCATGTTTACCAACCAACTACAAATACATTTTTAAAAGAGTGCGTTACAATCGCAACATGTTTTCGTGAAAGTAAGGCTGATCCAGATTTGTACCCATATGTCTCTCCTATGATACAAAAATGGTGTTCTTATTATTTGTACATTCCTGATATTTATAAAATAGGTATTATTTGTGATCCACGCTTTAAAATTGAAAATTATAAAATTTTAATTGATTATTACTACAAGTGTTTTTTAGATGAAAATNTGCTTGTCTTGTTGTGTTGGTTGGGGACATTACATTAATCTCATTTTTTTTGTCCCTAAGCAATTTCCTAGCATTTTCTCAATACATTGTATTATATATAATGTGAGTATCCCTCCCCATTTGAGTAGTGTAATTTTCGGCCATCACAAAGAAGAGAGAAGAAAATTATATTTTGTGTTCAAAGTTATTTTTCTAAAGTGTTAGAAATATACACAAAATATTATAAAGAAATATTTATAAGATAAATATTTTACTATATATTTATTACTCCCAAAGTAGTATTATTATAGTTTTTACTATCCTACATTAAACTTGCTAGCACAAGTTTAATCTTGGACTCCGGAGCAAGTTCGTGTGGATACGTTGGAGGCTTCATACGTTTGGCGCTACGTTCATCTCCTCAAAACCATCCCCGACCGTTCCTCCGTTCTCCGTTTTCACCGTTAAGGTAAATTTCTTACTATAGCTAGTAATTTACGTAAGTTGTTCTTGGGTGGAATCGAGTTTTGGACTATAAATTTTTGTTTTCCGCTGCATTATCCAAGCCTCGTTTCCCAACAGGAACCGCCGGTCCGGGAACCGGAACCGGTACCGGCCGGCACGGTGACGGTTCCGGTGACATGGGGTGGCAGTACCGGAACCGGAACCGTACCGTGTCCACCCCTATGTACCAATAACAGCGTGAACTCCTGTGTTGGTCTTGAAAGACCTATGACTCATGTTTTGGTATTTTCATAGTTTTTACTCTTATCTAGGAAGTTCTTCCCAATAAATAAGTTCTATATGGTATATTCAATATTCTATTAATAAAATTATACACACACATTATATATATATATATATATATATATATATATATATATATATATATATCCCCTTGGTTCCCATGACATTGGGAACCAAGGTCATGGGATGACCCCGGGGGCGCTCCGGTGCCCCGTTCGTAAAATTGACGGTTCCTACCCCTAACCCCCCCGGTAAACCCCCCCCCCCACTTTGTCCCGACCCGAACACATCACCCCACCCCCTTCAATTGCACCCCACAAGTTGATTTTGACTTTGGAGTCAAAAACCAGGTGCGGGTGGTGACCAATGATTTACACTCCGAGTGTAAATTTGAATATTTGCTCTTCTTGTTTAATTTTTTTTACATTCAATTAGAATCGGTCGATAACTAGATAGTTTTCAAAATTAAGGAGTATATGGTACAACATTAAGTACATAAGAAGAAAATTTACTTAAATAGTACGTAGTATTAAAATATAATGACTTTCTCAATGTAATATGGAGTACCATATATTTTTATTTTCCAAAGTATTAGCACTAGTTATTGTCCACTGGCGATTGTTCAAGTAAATATTCATCGCCATTAGACATTGTTCAAACTAAATATCTACCATCACTGGACATTTTTCTTGCGACTAGACATTATTCAAGTATTATTTAGGAAATAAAAAAATTTAAATATTAATTGGAAAATGATATAGAGAGTATGTTTATGTTTTGGTACTACTCTCTACTTAGTTCAAATTTTACTACATCAAATAATATCTTGAAAATATTGTTTAAGATAAATCCCATCAAGTTATCGAGATATCAACATAGGTTTTATTTACTCCGGTAGTTAATAATCAAAATTTATGGAAAATCAATTTATTTAATTAATGTTGGATGTATTTTCAAATTGCAAAACTGAAGTAATTTCACTCCGGGTTAATTCTGAAATCGCCCACGTGGCAGCTCGAAACAGCGAGCAGGAAACACTACTCTTTCCCCTCCCTCCCTTTTCAGCTCTTTAAACACCCAAGAACGGCCAGGCTCCGCTCCACCACCGTCAAACTCCAAATCTAGAGAGCGAATCAGGAAGACCGCCGGAATTTTGCAATCCGCCGCCGCAACCAAACCGCACCGGGATATCACCATCTGCACACGGAGATAGTCAGATTGAGAGAGCAGAATCCGAAAATGGCAGGGAGATTGGATCTGGACGGAAATCCGATTAAGCCGCTTACGATATGCATGATCGGCGCCGGAGGATTCATCGGCTCCCACCTCTGTGAGAAGCTGATGGAGGAGACGCAGCATAAGGTGCTTGCCGTTGACGTCTACAATGACAAGATCAAGCACCTTCTCGAGCCGGCCTCCAACCTCTGGGCGGACCGCATCCAGTTCCACCGCCTCAACATAAAGAACGACTCTCGCCTTGAAGGCCTTATCAAGATGGCAGATCTGGTAATTTCTCTCCCTATTCGCTTTCTGGTATCTGCATGTCATCTATGGCTCTGAGAACTGTCATGGATTTCCGTTTTCCTTTGAAGTTTCTGAATTTTGTGTACTTTAGATCATTGAAACGACATTGCATGTCATTTTTCCATGTTCCGGTTTTCATTTTTCACCTTTGCCTTCTCCGATGTCACTTTTGCCCTATTTTATTTGATTCTTAGCAGTAATTTTTAGAAAGTTATCGGGTTTCTCTGAGGATGTATTTTGTTTCGATCTTAAACTGACTGCATGCAATGAGATCCATATCCTTTCTCCTTCCAAATATTGTTATCTCAATTTTCGAAACATGATAAATCTGTTCATGAATTATTGTGAGAGGCTGTGTTGTAAATTTGAATCTTGTGTTGTAGACCATAAATCTTGCTGCGATCTGCACTCCGGCCGATTATAACACCCGCCCGCTTGACACAATTTACAGCAACTTCATTGATGCTCTACCCGTGGTACGTATATTTGTAATTTCCTTAGTGCTATTGATTCTAATTGGAATTTGGGGTTAAAATTGGTATTGGGGAGCATTTATGGAGGAATTGATTTGAGTGTCTTGACATTGAAGTGGACTTCCAATTTCAGGTCAAATACTGCTCAGAGAACAGCAAACGTCTTATTCACTTTTCCACTTGTGAAGTATATGGGAAAACCATAGGCTGCTTCTTACCCAAAGATAGTCCATTGAGACAGGTGAGCCTTCAATACAATACCTGGTGTCCTAGGTCTTATATTCAATATCTGTTAAGTGTTAAGTATTTTCCACTCCGGAATGGTTGCCAACCATTGTGGAACCTTGGATCATTGTGGTTCCTTGGATCTCCTATACCTGCGATCTCAGAGTGGGTATTTGTACTTTTGGTCCTCAAGTTCAAAACCAACCTGATCTACTATTGAAATTGTGTAAAGAACTAAAAACTGGCATTTTAAGTCTATTATTGAAAATGTGTGATGAACTAAAATGTGTATTTTAGGATTAAAAGTGGCATTATCGACAGTAGAGGGATCATGTCTGGTTAACTTGAACTCAGGAACTAATATGTGAAAATTTTAAGTCAAAGAACCAAAGCTGGAATTTACTCTAGTTCTAGTTGATGCTTCACAACTAACGGGGAAAACATGTGAGGTTAACTGAGGAACTTTAATGTGATATCAGTTTCTATTAGAAAGCAATCTGATGTTGTAAACTGATCTATTATCTAATGGGAGACCAAGTGCTTTAAGGATTGTGCAAGTTGGAATATTTCTTGCATTTCTCCAGTGGCAATGTTTGATGTCCCAAAAGTATGTCCTCACAGCTCCTGAGGCAAAGGGTTAGCCGTTGATTTAAATTTATTTGATTACTTCATAGTTCTGGTAATATTACTTCTCTGGTTGTATGTTTGCCAGAAAACTTCACTAACTTATAAAATGCTTTCTTGACATTGTAAATGCCATGCTTAGACTAAACCAATTCATGTGCTATATCTAAATATTTAAAATTGCACCATTTGTTAGGATCCTGCATACTATGTTCTGAAGGAAGATGCCAGCCCTTGCATTTTTGGCCCTATTGAGAAGCAGAGGTGGTCCTATGCATGTGCAAAGCAATTGATTGAGAGGTTGATCTATGGTGTGTGAACTTTTCTGCTCTAGTCTAGATTTAAATAGTACTCCCCCCCCCACCCACAACATACACACACACACACATTCTCTGCAAAAGGTCATGTATCAAATCTTTTTTTGTCACAAAATGGAGTCTCATTTCATTTAAAAAAAAGTTACAAACATGTTTAATGCTAGCATTTACGTTTAGTTGAACTAACAAATTAATTTTAAAAATATACTTGTAAATTTTATTCCATGATTTTTTACAAGTTTGCCTTGCCAAAACTAAAAAGTAGTACTGTGACCAGATGAGATTTTCGTAGGGGCTGAGGGAGTTGATAATTTGAATATCCACTTTTCTGACATGACATGCTTCTTTTACAGCCGAGGGTGCTGAGAATGGTATGGAATTCACCATCGTGAGACCCTTCAACTGGATTGGTCCTCGGATGGATTTCATTCCCGGCATTGATGGTCCCAGTGAGGGTGTTCCAAGAGTTTTGGCATGTTTCAGTAATGTATGTTTAGTTTATCGTGAAGCTAAATCAGTTGGTTATCTTGTGCTATATCACATGTATTTATTGAACTCTTCTTTTGTTCAGAACCTTTTGAGGCGTGAACCATTGAAGCTCGTAGACGGAGGCCAGTCTCAAAGAACCTTTGTTTACATCAAAGATGCCATTGAAGCTGTTGTCTTAATGATTGTGGGTCCTATTGTCTTTGTTCTTTTTGTTCTTATGCTAATACACACTCTTTTGTGCTGATGATAGGCTATCTGTTGTGGTTTTTTCTTAGGAAAATCCTTCGAGAGCAAATGGCCATATTTTCAATGTTGGCAATCCTAAAAACGAAGTAACTGTCAGGCAACTTGCTGAAATGATGACTCAGGTGAAATGAATGAACGAGTTTCTTCTTGCTGAAATTATAACACTTTTGTCAAAGTTTTGTTTAACTTGCGTTCTCCTCCTCTTCCTCCTCAGGTATATTCAAAAGTGAGCGGGGAATCTGCACTGGAAACACCAACCGTAGATATAAGCTCAAAAGAATTCTACGGTGAGGGGTATGATGACAGCGACAAGAGAATTCCAGACATGTCAATCATCAACAAACAACTCGGTACTCGATGCGGTTCCCATGTCTCTCTCTTTAAGCAATACGGACGATAACAGAAACTTGACATTCGTTTTTTTTAATCAGGCTGGAATCCAAAGACGTCGCTTTGGAACTTGCTAGAATCCACACTCACTTACCAACATAGAACGTACGCTGAGGCCATCAAACAGGCAACTTCAAAGCCAACCGCAAGTTGATGGAAAAAAATCTCACCAAGCGTGGCAGCTGTAAGCATCTTCATGTATCGGGTCGTGTATCAATGCCTTTAGACTGTAGATTTTTCATTTTAGTTCGAAAACGTGTGTCGTGTGCGCTAGCTAGTGTTTGTTTCCTGCTGCTAGTATGAGCTTTAACTGTGCCTTATGTGCATTCTATTTCCGGAAAGCTACTTCTCTTTGAGGGGGGGTTTCTTGTGTACCATTAGAACCACATGGTACCATTTTGGCTTGGAACTCTCCTTTGTCTTTAATCCAACCATGTTTCAATTGTTC